CAGCACTTGCAACATCCTGGGAAATAACCCTAAAGTCAAGAGAAGGAAGGTGAGACTCTGGACACATATAGGTTCGGAAAAAGTACTAAAGTGAGGCTCTCACTTCCTTCTTCTCACGTATTTTCTTGAAGGGCAGGTAGCAGAGGAATCAGCTCAACATCTTCCTCAAAATAAGACCGTTAATGGATCCCTGTTGCAAATGAGCAAGGTTTCAGCTTTAGTGCTAAGAGAAAATGCAGAGTTAACGTATTGAAACTCATCCTCTTCCCAGGCCATCTTAAGTGCTGCCTGTGGTCAAAATCCACCTGTCCCTTTCCACAGGACATTCTGAAGTTCTTACTGTTTTTTGGTTTTTGGTTTGTTTTTTTTTTGGGGGGGGGGGTGGTGCTAGGAGAGAAAAGAGGAGTTCCTTATTGAAAATACAATAGTAATTACAAGCAGTCCATGGGTTCTGAATAACATCCGTTCCTAAGTCTGTCTTTAAGTCAAATTTATAGGTAAGTCGGAACAAGTACATACAGTTCTTATTTAGCGTAAGTTAGTCAAATGTTTGTCTTGGTATATGGTATGTATTTTACCTTTCTATTCATATGAAACACTTAAGCAAACACTTCCCAAACCATGCAATGCTTTCACGAGCGTCACAAAGTAGTGTGTGTGTTCGTTATTACAAACCATTGTATTTAACTCAAATTTTTAATATAATCGGCTTTATGGCAGTCCATTCTCAAGTAAAAGCTGTCCCTAAGTATGACATCCATAATCCAGGGACCGCCTGTGTAAAGGTAACCTTGGCTTTGGAGTTGGGCCCTGGACGAAGGCTGACAACCTAAATGAAATTTGAAAGTGATTGCACAGCAGGTTCAAGAGTACATAAGTAGAGTGCCTTCTTGCTCCCTCTCCATCAAACACTCACTCCATTTCTTTCCCTTTCGGTTTCTTTCTCATGCTTCAGACTGGTTTTTGTTGTTGTTCTGTTTGGAACAGCATATAGGAAAATACATTTTCTTTTTAAATGAGAATATGGGATTTTAATTTTTTAAATCAGAAGGAAAATTCCAATAAAGAGCCAGAGTTAATCAGTTTTTCTTATTTTCAACAAAGCGCCTATCAGGTATCATGAGAAATAGTAACTTTAAGGGAAGTTTTAAGGGTATATACTCATTTACCACGCATGAGAGCCAAAGACTTCATGGTAGGCAAGCGGACTTCCCTGGCTTTTTGGTCAATACAAGCACATCTCAGAAATCCTACTTTTGCAAGTGGTATAGTCTTTTCTCCGTGAAAGGTCAGAGTACCTCCATTTTCAACATCTTTTACCTCCTAATCATAAGACCTCAGTAGGAAACAAAGAAGAATAAATTATATACTCTGATCCTATTCACATAAAGAAACAAATTTTCTATTACTGCTCATTCATTGTTCTTATTTCCTTATGGACTAATCATCTAAAAAAATATTTAGTGATGGCTTATGATGAACAAGGCACCGACATAGACAGAAATTGGTACATAAGTGACAAAAATGCAAAAGGTTATTTTATTTCATGTTTCCTAAGCCTGAACAGTCTTTCTGACATTGTCTGATAATAAAGCTTACATTTACTTAGACATCCAATTGTAATAACTAGAAATAGAATTACTAAGGGTGAAAATAAGTGGAAGGTTATTCTAGTTATACTCTAAGATGAAATATAATGTTTAGAAAGATTCTGAAATGTGCTACTACCTTGATCTTTTCAGCCATATAGCCTCTTTAGTAACTTATTTCAAGCAGGCTTTGTTTGATTTTGTTTTCTTTATTTTAGTAAAGCACAACTGGAGGCGAATGATTTGCAAGGTGACAACTCTCTGTACTTATTTTCCAACAGACCCACAAGTCTGTCATCAAAGGATCTTAGCAAGTACTCTGAAAAATCATAAAAATTGAACAATTTTCTGACTTAAAGAAATACTTATTGTGCCCCTACTTGTCACTAACTTTCTTCAACACGGGAATACTGGTCTCCAAAGTCTTTGTAGCTTTTTGGAGGATCTCTAAGACTGGGCCCATAGTCTTGACAATTTCCTCCAATTGACTTGCAGCTGACTCTAAGGGATTCTTGGCATTCTCCTCTTGTAGTGCATCCTGCAGTTTTTTCAAGGTCTCCGTTGTGTTGGTTTCAGGAGGACCTGAACTCGTGCTTGTCCCAGATGTGGTGGCATCTGATTGCTCTTTAGTGTCTTTCCTATAGAAGTCACTCAGCTGAAGATTCATGATGGGAAATTTCATTAAGAGTGTAATAGAAGAGATCAAAATCCCAAGGACATTGCCATGACTCAGAACAGAGACAATGAGTGGTATATGGGCGTTTTTGAACACTTTTTTGGCTGCCTGATGCAACCCCTTTACACTGGTACCCTGCTCAACCACAGAACTCATGGCCGTTGCAATCTTAGAATGTAAAGGCTCATCTTGCATGTTTTTGTTCATTGCATCCACTACCGATTGCATCTCCGTAACAATTTTGAGCATTTGCTCAAAGAAATCCTTAACTTTACCATCTTCCTTCACGGCTGTCAAGAGGATCTGGGTATTCATATTGCGGTTAAACAATTCAATAAGTGTGTTTGTGAAGGAAGCAATATTTTGCATGTGAAAGAAGAACGTATTGGCAGCTTGAGCCAGCCTCTCTTTATCCTCCTCTGGCTTTGAAGACATTTCTCCAATAAAGAAATTGCAGCACTGCAAAACAAAGCAGTAATCCAAATGAAAACTAAAAGCGGATTTGTCAACCATAAATAGACTGAAAGTATACTCTAAACATGACGGTGCCTCCTGTCAAGGGCAAGAAAGGTACACAGGCTTGAATAAAGACTTAGAGTAGGTTTTCTCCCCATTTGTTTCATTTCCTTTTTTTTTTTTCATTCTTCACTTCTTTATGATGTTGTCTACTACTTGGCCTGTGACACTGGAATATAATACAGAGAAGATTTTGACAAAAGCAACTAAAAAATAAGAAAAGGACAGGGAGATAGAAGAAGCATGTTCAAAAAGCTGCAGTATCTAAAGGAGCTCAGATACACATTTCAAGTTTGGATAAATAGCTGCTGCATAAAATTAAGAGGTCACTTCACAGGCCTCTTAGCTCACCCCTCCTGCAGAGCTTGAGCGTCTCTGGGCCTCACCCTTCCCAAAGAAGATTAAGGCCTTCTAATGTAGCCTTTTAAAATGTCTGTCCTATTGTCTAAAAATGTTTCCATACTTTCATTACAACTCTCCCTCTCCTGCTATGGAGAGGAGTGTTTAATATCTGTTCCCAGTGTTCACGGTCCTCTCTTTTGGATCTCTTCTAGAATTCTGATCTAGCAATCACCTCTCCTTTCTCTTGTATCCTCCATCTCTCCTCTTCGTTTGTTACTTCCCCTTTAACTACACACGTGCTCATCCCCTAGTTTCCTACTTAGTTTAAAAAAAAAAAAAAAAGTTTAACCCAGGTTTCCCTACAAGTAATGATTCCATCTCATTCTTTCCTTCAATTGTCAAATTTCTCAAAAGAGAAATTATTTAAACCGAAAACAAGCCCGTTGCCCTCAAGTTGACTCGGACTCATAGCGACCGTACAGGACAGAGTAGAATTGTCCCATAGGGTTTCCAAGACTGTAAATCTTTACAGAAGCGGACTGCCACATCTTTCTCCTACAGAGTGGTTGAGGGGTTTGAACTGCCAACCTTTTGGTTAACAGCCAAGCGCTTAACCACGGCGCCACCAGGACTCCTTGGGAAATTCTTTACACCACTGTAATTTGTTGTCTGTCTCCCACTATTTTACTATAGGGCACCAATGACTTCTAATCATCAAATCTATTGACCTATTTCCAGGCCCTAACCATCTTGAGTTCTCTGTATTATTTAAAACTGTCAAATACCTCTTCCTATTGAAAAATGTCTCTTCCTGATGTTGTACATCAACTCCATGATGTTGTACAATTCCATGATGTTGTACAACTCTGGTCCTCCTATAACCTAAGCATTTATTTTCATCCTTCACAGGCTTCTCTTCTTCCTCACACCACATGACTCTCCACTCTCCTAAGCTCTCCCAGGCTGTGCCCTTGGCCCTCATTATATTCTACACTCTCTCTTGGAGATTTCATCTATCCCCATCACTACAAATGCCGCCTGCATGCAGATGACTCCTAAATCTCCCAGTGTAGCCTGGACAGCTCTCTTGAACTCCAGAGCCACATTTCCAACTATCTATGGAGCCCTGGTGGTGCAGTGGTTAAGAGATGTGGCTGCTAACCAAAAAGGTCAGCAGTTTGAATCCACCAGCTGCTCCTTGGACACCCTATGGAGCAGTTCTACTCTGTCCTATAAGGTTGCTATGAGTCGGAATCCACCTGATGGCAATGGGTTTGGTTTTTGGTTTTATTGGCCATCCCAACTGGAAACTGCACCAGTACTATCCACACCGTGTATCCCAAACTGTACTCCTCTCCTCAGGCCCCAACAGCTGTTGATTCCGTGCATTTATTTCCATCTAACCCCTCCTTTGCATTCCTGTAAATACTACTCTAGCTGTTAGCAGACATTACCTCTCACCTGGACAATTTTAATAGTTTCACATTCGTCTCAATACTTTTAGTCCAGGGATCACAATAAACTGGCAATCCACAGGATATATTTTGTTTGGCCCACCACAATATATTTTCCAAAATTTGTATCAGTTGTCAAGTTTAAAAACTGAAAGACAGAAATCTGGATTTCTATTTATTATTGAAAACATGAGATTAACTGACAACACTAAGCCCCTGTTCCCAGTTGGAAAATCTACCTAGAACTGAGTCTATCCCCTTTGGACTGGACATTCACCCTCTATACCCTATTGTCTTATACTAAATGTCTTAATTGCTCATATCACTTGTCCAGATACTATAGGCATTGGGGTTGGTGCCTCATGCTTAATTTTCTATACCCACTAATCCAGTTTATATAAAGTGACGTTCCTGAAATCCAAACTTCCTCACATTATCCCATAATTAAAAACTTTCAATGGTTCAATATTGCCAAGTGAATAAAATACAATTTTCTAGCATGGCATTTGGGAGTCCATGGGTGGTGCAAATAGTTAATGTGGCTGGCTGCTAACTGCAAGACTGGAGGTTCAAGTCCACCCTGAGACATCTCAAAAGGAAGGCCTGCCAATCTACTTTCAAAAAACCAGCCACTGAAATCCCTGCGGAGCACAGCTCTACTCTGACACACATGGGGTCACCAGGAGTCAGAATCGACACAATGACAACTGGTTTTAGCATGGTATTTAAGGCCATCCACTGACTGTTCTCAATTTTCCACTACTTTCCTTTCCTTTACCTCTCTCTTATATACCCTCTTCCACCAGCATAGTGGATTAAATATGTTCCCTAAAAATGTTCTCCATTTCTTTTGTTCATTTCCTCTTCTCACAGCATTCTCTCCACCTTGCATTGTCTCCTGCATGCCCTATCCACCATATATCGGCTGAAATTCTACTTATCCATCCACAGCCAGTTCAGATACACTGACCACACATACTTTTTCTGTTTTTCCCCATACTTCTCCATGGAGGGGCCCTAGGATATGTCAAAGGCAAAATAATCCACTGGGACGACAGTAAAATAACACCCCACTTAGCCCTTCTTTAGGACTATAGGGCAGCACCGTTAGGTTTTACAGGTTTCCTGGCTGGCCGCTGGATTCTGTATCCTCTCCTCCCTGTTTCCTGCACGAGTTATTCTTGTTAATATATTAAGAAAAGCTATCATTTAGTAAAGTTTTGCCATATATAAGGTACCATGCGAAGTGATTTACATGAATTATCTCATTTAATCCTGATGACGATTCATAAATTATGAACCATTATTCATGTTACACCAATGGAAAAACTGAGAGATGAAATGACTTGCCCAGGGCTACCTGGCTAGTAAGTAGTACTCTGGGTGTACAAAATCGGGACTGTTTGATTCTAGAGCCTGTGGTCTTTCTACTAAGTTATACTGGGGCTCAGTGATTCTCTTGCTTATAAGGTGTCTTTGCTGCAGGAGAATCTATGGGGATCAGGATAGAACCCAGAGAAAGAAGAATGGAAGACTCTGGTCTAGGCTTTTAAGGGAAAGGAGTCAAATGGATCTAAGGTTCTTATATTGTCAAGACGATTTATCAGGAAGAGAGATCATGGTAAAGAAAAGAGCCCCTAACCAGGAAAGAGTGAAATAATAATAATAATAACATAGGTACACATTTAGCTAGAAATATGCTGATTTATCTCTTGAGAACCTAAACAAAGCATCAGCGATAGATGGGGGGATGGGGGTACAAATGCAACGGAAGCCATAGGAACCTTAGTATCTGGAATAGTAGACAAGATGGAATCCCAAAGTCTGACAGCTGCAATCAAAGGGCTGTCTTCTCTACCAAATTGAATTAGCTTAGTTGTACAGCACTTTTCAACAATAAAAAGTCCATTAAGGAGCAGAAAATAAGTTTTACCACTTTACTAAGCGTATATTAATACAGTAAATAGAAGAATTCTGAGGACTAGGCAATGCAAAAATAGCCTATAAACAAGACAGGCAGAGGGACCCAGCAGACTAGCAAAGCCTGTGGGTCATCACATTCCATCAGAAACACCCAGATGAAACTAGATGAAAGAGCACTTCGCCAGTCCTCCAAAACTACTGCTGAGCTACTGAACCAGAAACACAGCCAGGTAAGCAATATGGGTGTTTCTATTAGCATTGATATAGTACTCTACATTTCTCTATATTAAGGGCAACTTGAAATAACATGGCAGTCTTGAATCCTAGTCATAAGACATTACTATAATAAAGTAACAAAAGAGTTTTGTTATAAGAGGACCCCACGGCGTGTTGTTTGTAATTATTTTTCTCTGAAGACACTAGGCAAGGAAAAAAATGAACTTCTAGGATAGTATTAAGTCAGAGGGGGAAGATAAGCAGTAAAGACATCAATTTTAGAAAGAATTAAGCATGAAGCGACACTTGTGTGTTCCATGTGGGTGGATGGTAATATTTCCTTTTATGTCTTTAACATTACTATAGGCACTCAGCATACCTCTGTTGAAAGAATGAATAAGGGATCTAACACGAGTTAATGCATAGTGCTTATATTCCTTCAAAATTTATATTACATTTAATTATCACTGGGCATTTGCTGTTTGTCTCCCAACAGACTGTTACCTTCTTGAAGGCAAGGAACATCGTCTATTTTTTCTTTAAATGCCTCAAGGTATATAGTAAAGGCTTCCCAAGTGAGCATTTGATAAATGTTGATGGATGATCATGATATTCTGCTTTTGGTCAGAAATATTCTTAACTTATTTTTTTTATTAAAGGCCATGGTTTTGATTTGAATTAAAGAAGGCTCAGAAGTAGTTAATAGCTGTTATTTTTCTCTAGAAAAACTTGCATCACCTATACCCTATTTCCACATTCCTGAATAGTGAGCCTTGCATGATAGCAGGACCCAATATGGATAGTGAGGAAAAGTAACTGCAGGGAGAAACAAAAAATCTCAGAAAGCACTAAGCACTGAACATCAGAGATATAAACAGAACCACCAATAGTTTTCTTTCTTTTTTAAAGTTTATTATGGAAAAGTTTAGACATATGCAAAAGTAAAGACGATAACATAATAAACTCCATGTACCCATAACCTAGCTTTAAAAATCATCAACACAGTTC